GTTCACTACAGCTGAGTCCTCTCGCAGGCCTCCTGCTCACACAGCTGGTCCACAATTATCTCTGTCTGCATGCGACCGAGACAAGCAAATATTGCATGAAGCACATCGGCCACTCTGAGATTAGCTGGGGTGCAACTTAAGAACAAAGCGTCTGGTTTAGAGGTGAATCTGACATTGAAAGCTTTTAGAGCTTAAGATTGTCAGAGGAAGGTTTGTTGAATTGTTACAGATGTTTAGTCATTAGTTTAAAGCTCCCATGAAATTAAAATAAAGTTTTTTAGATGTTAATGTCAGTATTCTTAGTTTTAGGATATCTATAAGCTAGTGCGCTCCAAAACTGTGTGAAAATTCATATTTAGAAGATATTAAACTGATGTAAAATTTACTGTTTGACACTTCTGCCTAAAGCTGCGGTCACACTGCACTTTTCTCCCCATAGACTTTCATTCATACGTACACGAATGCATTAAACCGGAAATGTAAGGTCGTGCGGCAAGTTTCGCAGTTGGCTGCGTTGGAAAGTTCAAGCTTGGTGAGCTGTGACCTGCGGAATTGCATCATATGATTGCTTGAGATCAATCGAGGATCAAAACATGAACTCTCTGGACAAAAATTTAAAACATAAACCAATCACACGCTTTTTTAAATGTCTAATTATCTTGTTTAATCCCGCCCCTTTTCGCAGAACCGTACGACAGAATTTCCTATGCTCAAACTCTAGTGTGCATGGGTGATTATAAGTGAGTTGTTGAACCCTTAGAGGACAAAGCTTTTACCTTTTATCTTAAATATCCTGTAGCACCTATGGTTTAGGAAACTCATTACAGATTTTTATTTAGGATTTATCCTGCAAATGAGTTTATTCAAAACAGATTTTACTTTGATGTTGAAAAGTGTAGCTTCTGCTCAAATCTTCCAGAAACACTCGATCACTTATTTTTTTCTTGTTAATTTACTTTAAAATTGTGGTTTGACATCCACACTTGGCTTTCATTAAAGATAATTTCAGTCAATTGACAATTGTTCTACAAGATATTTTATTTTACAATTGTGATTTACATTTTTTTTTCTCTGATGTTGTGAACTTTATTTTACTAATAGGTCAAATTCATATTCATTGTTGTAAATGGAAAAACAATTTTTCCATCTCTCTCTTTTAGATGTTTTCTTTCTGAGGTAGGAAAAGTGGCTCAAAGCTTGAAACACTTCAGAAACCAAAATAAAATAACTGAAGCTCTTCATTTTCAGAATATTTATTGTTGGTGCTTTTTTCCCTTTGATGTAGGTCTTTTTTATTGCTCCTTGTTGCAGTTGTAACAATTTTAATTTGTTTTATTGGTAAACATGCCTTGGGATGTTAATTGTTCCCTGTTTTGTGATGTAAACTTTTTGCAACAATTACAAAAAATAAAAATAAATTACAAAAAAACTTTTTGTGTGACTGCGCATAAATCAGGGGCAGTGTTGCCAGATTAAAACTGTCAAAGTATCGTACCAGAACCTCAAAATAATCGTATTTGGAGGAAAATTATTGTACATGACTCAAACAGAGTATACAGCAATTATCTAGACAAATAGCGTTAACACAACGTGCAAATAACCACAATACGCAAAAAAAAATAAATAAATAAATAATTTAAAAACTAGGCATAACTTATTGGGAAGGTTCAAACTCCACCTCTAGTCTCTGTCCTGCGCGTGTTGCCAGATGTTAAGGAATTTATTTTGCGGTACAAATGCTGCCATAGACTACAACATAGTGCTGGTTGGCTAGAAAGAAGGCACCCTCTAGACATGGGCCGGTATAAGACTCTGACGGTATGAAAACCTTGGATAAAAATATCACGGTTTCACACTATGACGGTTTTGTGACTACTGCTCTGAAATACGTTCTTCTGGGTAAAAAAACAACAACTTTTTTCTACTGAACACAAGATGTTATAATTTAAGAAACATTTAAAATAATTTGGAACAGTAAACATGTTAGTCTAAATAATTAAAATAAATCATTGACCTGCTATCTTAATGTTTACAAAACAGATTTCTTTACAACTTGAAAAGGCATCTCTGGTATATCTTTCTTTTCTTTGGATATAAAGTGTGTAAGCCACTACACTGTTCAAGTGCATAGCACATAGGATTCACATAGCAGCATGGGATGTTGATTTACAAGTAATTCGTTTCTCAAATGTTTGCTAACTCATAAGCTGACCCGTAGTTTTTGATGTGGAGTTTCCTTTTCTGCTGGAGACACTGTTGCCCCAAAATACTAAATAAAATAATAAAAAAAAAAACATTGAAAAAACACTTACATATACCTTAGAACGGTATAACAATATTTGTTTGCGGTTTTAAAACCTTGACTTTTCCAAACCGTAGTGTACCTTGAAAACGGTTATCGTCTCACTGAGGTGTTCAGTGTATCTGTAATGTGCCTATTTTGTGGCTTTGTATAGATAAGATTAATTTTGGAAGAACACGTTCACATGACGCATTAAAATGGGGAAAAACGAGAACATCAAGGGCAAACTCCCCTTTCCTTCTCACCTTCCTTTTCAGCACTACTTTTTAAATCTTTATTGCTTTAACGATCAACCTCAACCTAAAAACAACTGACTTAAGCATGGCCACGGATGGCAGGAATGTTAACTTGTGAGAGAGAACATTCTCCACGCTGATTGGCTGAGAAAATACAAGAATCAATAATTACATTTTCAATGAGAAATAAAATACAATTTATTAGAGATGTTTATGTACTAACCTCACTTATTTTATTTTCATTAACAAAAATGATTCGCATTTTAACCACTTTAGTGTTAATTAACTAAAATAATTCTAACTTTCTATGTGAAGTACATTATTAAACAAACTAATAGGTTTAATGTAATACAATTTCATCTTTCATACATAATTTATTGGTCAGAAAAATGACAATATTTGTATTTTTTTAAAAATCACTACAAACCTGAATGTATTTTGAGTACACATATCCATGTTTACATGTTTTAACTCTTTTCCAGAGCTACTGTTTACCAACATAATGTTATTTTCAAGATTGATTCAAAAAATGCATTTAAAATTGATATTATTTAAATAAAATCAAATAGATTCAAAAAGGTAATACACACTTTGCTGATTTTTGGAGGGAAAAATCTTACTATCTATCCTATCTTACTATACATGTCTTTTTTTCCATTCATTTTCTTTTCGGCTTAGTGCCTTTATTTATCAGGGGTCAACACAGAGGAATTAATCACCAACTTATCCAGCATATGGATCCCCTTCCAGCTGCAACCCAGTACTGAGAAACATCAATACACACTCATTCACACTATGGCCAATTTAGTTTATTCAATTAACCTATAGCACATGTCTTTGGACTGTGAGGGAAACCAGAGCATCACAGGGAGAACATGCAAACTCCACTTAGAAATGCCAACTGATTCAGCCAGGACCTGAACCAGATACCTTCTTGCTGTGAAGTGACAGTGCTAACCACTGAGCCACCATGTCGCCCCATATGTTTTTTGTTTATACTTTTGTATGCATCTTTATGTTTCCATGTGCATTTCAAATATTTTATAAGAATTTCAAATTTTATTTGGACCTGAATCTTTTTGGTGTTTTTTGCCAGTACTTCAACTTCAGTCCTGAAACTAACAAACAACAAGAAAGGCTTTACAATCTATATGAGCATGAAAGCTTCAACAATTTGGAGAAACTTTTCACAGCCGAACGCAAAAAAAAAAGGCAATCTTATAACACAAACACTACTATAACCCTGATCCACAGCAACCATGAAGAGCTGATGCACAGAAAGAAATCAGACAATGGGTTATTTTTAGCTGAACTAACATGGAGGTCAGCAACACTAGTATGTTCTTCATAGTGGATGATTGGTCTTGGTCGGCCGCTGGCAAACCACCAACAACTCATTGTCAATGAAGTGGCAATGATGAGACTGCTCATGGAAATGAACAGTAATATGAAACTAATTAACTAGAATATCGCACAGAATAGAATAGAAAGACTCTGACTGTATGCAAATGGAAAGACTGGGTGCAATTGTATTGTATGAATTGTAGACAGGTGATCATCATCTGAACAGGTGCTCAGTTTCTAAAGAGAAGAAAGAAACACTTCAACAGCGACCTCTAGTGGGAGTTGTCATTCATAACTCATTTCTGCCATATTTAACCAGCATTCTTCCATCCTTTTCTTACAGAAAATCTAAAATATGTTATAAAAAAAAAGTAAATTTTGAAAATAATTATGAAGTAAATTATTTAACTGGATTTATTAGGTATTGGTTTGATTAAAATGTGAATATCTATTAAAAATGTAAATATTAATTGAAAATGGAAATATCTATCCATTCATTCATTATTCTTCACTCATTCATTCCTTCATCAATCTTTAGTCCAGTCATCATGGAAATATCAATCTACACATCCATCCATCCATCCATCCAGCCACATCCTTTATTTTTAATACATTTATTCATTAATTTCACCATCCATCCATCCATCCATCAAACATTCATCCATTTATGTATCCATTCATCCACCCATCATTTGCCCCATCCATCAATATATTCATTCATTCCTCCATTGATCCATCCACCATCTATTAATCGATATCCAGCCATTATTCATCTATGCTAAAAATCACAACTGATACAAATAATGTTTTCTTTTTGTTTTGCTTTAAATTGTCAGGGTTATTCTACTAAGTATTGATTTCTTAATTCTTCTGAAGTAAAAAAGCAACTGTTTAATATATATTTTATTAAATAAACATCTTTTTGTTGTTGTTATTAAAAAGAAAATGTTCTAAATAACAACCTTATTTATTACTGGAGGAAGTGTAATTAGTACTTTCAAAAAATAAGCCATACTCAAACAATAAACTATCAATTGTAAATATAGAGAAACTTATATTTTCAAGTAGTACATAAAAAGCTTAGTACAAAAAAAAATTGGTGAAATAACATCCCCTTGTCTTTAGAAACATATTTATGTAAAAAGGATTATCGAACTGTTCAATGTTAAAACATATTGCTGACAAATGGGTAAAACATATTGGTATGAGGGATAATGGTATCAAGTCATAAGTATAAATATCTTTTTTTTTTTCATCGAACCTTCAAATAAATGTTAATAATTATAAATGACAGCCACTGAACAGTGCAAATGCATGTAAAAAAAATAAAAATCATATAGGCCTACAACTGATATATCCATCAGTGTGTTTCCTCAAAATGTAAGGACAGTAATCCGTAATGACAGCAGCCTCTAAAACTGAACATTGATAACAGCCCTAAAGCTCAAAATGCAAACCTAAAGCTGAAATCTGCTGCATGTTGAACAGGATGGGTCTTCTGAATGGAGGTTTCCTCATATTTCGGCTGTTTCCCAGCTGGGGAAGGATTGCTCTAATGGGGTAAACCAGGAATAACCGAAGAGCGCTGAAATTACAAAATAGTTGTAATTAGTGCAATTAGTCCTCTGGGTTTGAAAAGGCAGGCAAATAAGCATTTGAATGAGCGCTGGCCTGTTCATCCTCATCATTACACAAGGACTACCCTAAAAGCCATCTCATTATTGCTTTTGACTTTCATTCAGGACAATTTTGGGGTCTTTTCTAGAAAGCAACACTATGGCTGTTCTCCATCTGTGAAGTTTTTCAGAGAAAGCAGTAGATTTTTTTTTCTTTTTTTAAACAGATAGTTCGACCAAAAAAATGTATCATCATTAACTAACCATTTACTTGTTCAAAACCTATTTGAGTTTTTTAATCTATTGAACAAAAACAGATACTTTGAAAAATGCTGATCGCTGGCACTTCTAAAGTATAGTAAGTATTTAGAAGTCAATTCGTCCTAGCATTCTTTAAAATATCTTCTCTTGTATTCAACAGAAGAAAGAAACACAAAAGTTTAAAACCACACGAGGCAGAAAAAAAATTATTTTATTCTGTGAACAATGTTGTACTTTGATAGTCATTGGCTGCTAATATGATTTCGCTATTTAGAGTTTGCAAATAATACTTGTGCAATTATATTATTAAGCAGAAAGAATGTGCGAATATAAAACCTACTTTACATCTATTGGAAATGTTTCAAGAGGACTCAAAAACATGACGGACCTTGCTGAGATACGGATGTTTTTTTTTTATTTATGTCGCGTAATCAGAATATTAAAATAAACAAAAAACAACTCGCCTTTCAAAGACCACCAATTACTTCACTGAGCTACAGTTACAGCATAAGAACACATCCTTGTTTTATAGTTCCTCACATTTAAATTTGGGGTGTGACATTGTAAGAACCAATGTTTCGTTTGAGTATGTTGAGTATCTCACCTTCTCGGTTACTCAAATGCCGTCCAAACTTGAAACTATATTTTAATATCATCAAATAAACATTAAAACTTAAATTAGAAATCATTCAAGCAATTTTCTCTCATAGTGTGAAGAACATATTAACAAACTACAAAAAAAAGCTTTCATCGAATGAAACGTTCTTCATGATGGTATTACCCCTGCCAATACAAGAATCTTTAAAAGTGACTAAACGACATGTAACTTTGTTTACTTGTTTGATATACACATTACACACTAATATAATTTGCCACTTCAATACGGCCTAATGAAATCAAGGTTTGTATTTAGTTATCGTTTTTCCCACTGAAAAACCACAAGCCTTCCTTTATGTACTCTGTTTTACAGTTGACTCTTTTTTTACAGTGTTTTATACTTCCTCACAATTAATTTGGCATGTGATGTTGCAAGAATCAATGGCATTTGAGTATTATTATTCAAACCCCACCTCCTCGGTTACTCAAATGCCATCCAAACTTGAAACTATATTTTAATATCACCAAACATTATAATATAAATTCGGAATTGTTAGAAATTATTATATTTACAAACTACAAAACAAAAGCTTTCATCGAATGAGACAATCTTCATGATAGTAACATCACCACCAATAAAGAACATTTATATTTAAAAGAGACTAAACGAAATGTAACTGTGTTTACTTGTTTGATATATACATTACACACTGACTTACAGGATATCAATTGACACTCCAAAAAAACTTCAAATTAAATGAGTTTGTATTTCGTAATGGTTTTTCCCACTGATAAAAACGAAGGCTTTCCTGTTTTACACTTGACTATTTTTAAGGTTATTTTATAGTTCCTCACATTTAAATTTGGCGCGTGAAGTTGCAAGAACCAATGGCGTTTGAGTATCTTTATTCTCGGTTACTCAAATGGCGTCCAAACTTGAAACTATATTTTATATCACAAAATAAACATTAAAACTTAAATTAGAAATCATTCAAGCATTTTTCTCTCATAGAGTGAAGAACATATAAACAAAATACAAAACAAATCCTTTTATCGAATGAAACGTTCTTCGTGATGGTATAACCACTGCCAATAAAAGAATCTTTATATTTAAAAGTGAATAAACGACATGTAACTTTGTTTACTTGTTTAATATGCACATTACATACTTACTTACATAATTTGCCACTCCAAAACCGCCTAATGAAATCATGGTTTGCTTCGTTTTTTCCCACTGAATAAGCGAAGTCTTTCCTCTATGTACGCTGTTTTACAGAGCTGACTGTTTTACGCTTTTTTATACTACCTCACATTCAAATTTGGCGTGTGACCTGACAACAACCAATGGCGTTTGAGTATGTTTATTCAAATCCCACCTCCTCCGTAACTCAAATGCCGTCCCGTCCAACTCGCTCTGAACATCCATACATTTCATCCAGGGGGAGGAAGTTGGGGTGTTTCGGAAGACCCACCCCTTACTATCAAAGGTCCAGATAGTGTCCCGTAATGAGCTAATTTGTCATATTTTGACTGCTATGCCATCATAAATACTGAAAATAGCCAATCGAAAAGGCTTTAAAACCAAGCAGAATCCTCTGTTGGATGTAGCTACGGTGTGACCGTCCAGCACCGTGCTTCAGCTAATCAGTTTTGGCCAATGCTAACAAATATTTTTCACGAGTCTAACATCCAGCTGTGCAAGAAAACACACTATCTGACGTAAGAGAAGTCTTTTTCGCCACTGTATTGTTTTTAAATAGAGAAAACAGTTGTTATAGACAAATATTTTTGTTTGAATTGGCCATTCTGACTGAGGACAGTCGAAAGTGCTGGCTAGTTTGTTATTTGCCTGTGTCAATAGGCTACAGTTTTAATTTAAAACCTTAACAGATTGCTATTTTTTCTAATGATATGTGGTGTAATTAATTTGTAATTTAAAGATAAGTGTTTTTTCTTTCGTATTTCTTTATTCTAAAGCTTTAGAAAATATTTGGTACATCATGATGACCATCCAACAAGCTAATCCAGCTAAAAACAATTAAATAGAAAATGAGGCTAATAACTGCAACAATGTCTACTTTTTAAGAGACAAAAACACTTGTTTAACCAGTCTGGTTTTGGCTATTTTAACCTCTTAAAGCCCAAGGTGTTTTTTACATGCATATTTTATTTCTCTTTGCTATTTGGGCTTATTGGAACCTAATTATAATAAAACCTAAGTATCATATTTTGATATGATGTATTTTTAGAAAAAAATTATATCCATATATGTGGACTTCCATAAAACACAATGAAGTCACCTTTGGGTAATAGAATGAAAAACTCTTTATTTCTGCCTTGAACACAGCAGTTTTTTTCCTGCCTGTTTTGTAATGCATTAATAACACATAAACACATATGTTTAAAATGTTTTGACTGTCAGTAAAAAAAATAATAATAATAAATTGCCCTTTTTTGATAGTTAAAATAGTGTTCGGGACATTTCATATGCTCCAAAACAGTTGCAGGATAACACTGTATGTCTGTAACAAAAATAAAACAAGACATAAGAGCTGAAATGTGCTGTTCATGTATGTGGCCACTAAGCCATAGGACAGAGATCGGGAACCTTTTTCAGAGCCATTTCAGATTTTTTTTAGCAAACGCATTTTTGTAAAGAGCCATTGAATGGCTATATATATATCAAAATGTCTTTTTTTTAATGTATTTGCTACTGTATTACTATAAATTACTAAAAATTATTATAGTAGCACTACTAATACTATATTATAATTTGTAATATTACTAAAAAAATAATACAGGTTTAAACAAAACCTTAATGTATGTCCATGTACAACTCAAAAATAAACAAATATGAAGCATCATATGTTAAGCAAGTCCATGAATGAAGAAATTTATAGTGACTTTAACTGAGTTATAGTGACTTTAACTGAGTTCTTATTCATTGTGCTGTATAAAATTACAATTTAAAAGGGGACTGTTATTGTAGTTTCGATAGAAAAGAGATTATTAGTGATGGTTAATTAGGATGGATAATTAGTTTTTTAAACAGTATAAGATTTTATATATATATATATATATATATATATATATATATATATATATATATATATATATATATATATATATATATATATAGTATATTTAGTATATTTAATATATAATAATATAATATTGAAGAAAGACAGCTGGAGTGCCACATATTTTTGGTCAAAGAGCCACATGAGGCTCGAGAGCCATACCACTGCCATATCGCACATGTCTTTGGACTCTGGGGGAAACCGGAGCACCCAGAGGAAACCTACGCCAACATGAGATGAACATGCAAACTCCACACAGAAATGACAACTGACCCAGCAGGACTCAAACCAGTGACCTGAGCCACTGTGCCACCACCTATAACCAAACATTAAATGTAAATTAGAAATTATTACACTCACTCTATATTTGGCAGTTGTTCACTAAACTACTTTTTTGACAAGAGAGCACCTAATACAGCCACAACGGTGTCATGAAGCAATTCTAAAAAGTCTAGTTTCCTTGAAAGCAACTGAATCAAATGCAACTTTAGCCAAGAATAACACAAACGACGCCAAAAGAGCTCCTCTGATACAATTACACCCAATACAGCTTTGATACAGCTCTGTGGACGTTTGTCTCCAAGGTAACCGTGGACTATCTCTCTGAAAAAGATGAAGGTTTGTGTTGCATGGAAACCACAATGTAATCTCGCTGCTTTCATGGCACCAGGCAGCAAACACAAACACCACAATCGCGAATAATCTAACATGCACAGAGACCAGGTGTGTTTCAGAACCTGATAGAGATGTGGTTTGTATATAAAAGCTTCATATCTTGTGGTTGTGCAGCTGGAGCAAGTTTTTTGTATTATTATTATTTTTTGTATTTATTTATTTTATTTTATTTTTGCAGAGGGTGGATGATTGTGTGGGATGCCCCATGCTGGACTTTAAAAGCACTGAAAACATGTGGGTGTTGTACTGTGTGAAAACCCACAGGATGGGATCTATGTCATCTTTTCTTTAGAGCCATTAAATAAATTAATTAATATAATATAGAGGCGACGCAGTGGCGCCTCACAGCAAGAGGGTCGCTGGGTCATCTGGCGTTTCTGTGTGGAGTTTGCATGTTCTCCCTGCGATCGCGTGGGTTTCCTCCGGGTGCTTCGGTTTCCCCCACAGTCCAAAGACATGTGGTGAAGGTGAATTGGGTAGGCTAAATTGTCTAAGTGTATTAGTGTGTGTGTGAATGAGTGTGTGGATGTTTCCCAGAGATGGGTTGCGGCTGGAAGATGTGCAGGATAAGATGGCGGTTCATTCCACTGTGGCGACCTCGGATTAATAAAGGGACTAAGCCGAAAAGAAAAGGAATGAATGAAAATAAATATAAAATAGGGCAGCACGGTGGCGCAGTGTGTAGCACGATATTGGTTCGGTTAGACCTCGGCTGGACCATTTGACATTTCTGTGTGGAGTTTGCAAGTTCTCCTTGTGTTGTCGTGGGTTTCCTCCAAGTGCTCCGGTTTCCCCCACAAGTCCAAAGACATGCGCTATAGGTGAATGCGAGAGTGTATGGATGTTTCCCAGTACTGGGTTGCAGCGGGAAGGGCATCTTCTGTAAAAAACATTTGCTGGATAAGTTGGCGGGTCATTCCGCTGTGGTGGCCCCTGATGAATAAAGGGACTAAGCCGAAAAAAAAAATATATAGTATAATATAATGTAATGCAATTATATAATATAATATAATATAATATGTAATATAATATAATACAATACAATACCCTATAATAGGGTGGCGCAGTGGGAAGCGCTGTAGCCACACGGCAAGAAGGTTGCTGGTTCGATCCTCGTCTTGGTCAGTTGTCATTTCTGTGTGGAGTTTGCATGTTCTCATCATGTTGGCGTGGGTTTCCTCCAGGTGCTCCGGTTTCCCCCACAGTCCAAAGACATGTGGTGCAGGTGAATTGGGTAGGCTAAATTGTCTAAGTCTATTAGTGTGTGTGTGAATGAGTGTGTGGATGTTTCCCAGAGATGGGTTGCGGCTGGAAGATGTGCTGGATAAGATGGCGGTTCTTTCCACTGTGGCGACCTCGGATTAATAAAGGGACTAAGCCGAAAAGAAAAGGAATGAATGAAAATGAATATAAAATAGGGCAGCACGGTGGCGCAGTGTGTAGCACGATATTGGTTCGGTTAGACCTCGGCTGGACCATTTGACATTTCTGTGTGGAGTTTGCAAGTTCTCCTTGTGTTGTCGTGGGTTTCCTCCAAGTGCTCCGGTTTCCCCCACAAGTCCAAAGACATGCGCTATAGGTGAATGCGAGAGTGTATGGATGTTTCCCAGTACTGGGTTGCAGCGGGAAGGGCATCTTCTGTAAAAAACATTTGCTGGATAAGTTGGCGGGTCATTCCGCTGTGGCGGCCCCTGATGAATAAAGGGACTAAGCCGTAAAAAAAATCTATATATATAGTATAATATAATGTAATGCAATTATATAATATAATATAATATAATATAATATAATATAATATAATATAATATAATATAATATAATATAATATAATATAATATAATATAATATAATATAATATAATACAATACCCTATAATAGGGTGGCGCAGTGGGAAGCGCTGTAGCTACACGGCAAGAAGGTTGCTGGTTCGAGCCTCGGCTTGGTCAGTTGTCAGTTCTGTGTGGAGTTTGCATGTTCTCATCATGTTGGCGTGGGTTTCCTCCAGGTGCTCCGGTTTCCCCCACAGTCCAAAGACATGCGGTACAGGTGAACTGAATAAGCTAAATTGTCCATAGTGTATATTTGTGAATGAGAGTGTATGGGTGTTTCTCAGTACTGGGTTGTGGTTGGAAGGGCATCCGCTACATAAAACATATGCTGGATAAGTTGGTGGTTCATTTCGCTGTGGCGACCCCTGATGAATAAAGAGACTGAGCCAAAGGAAAAAGATTGAATAAATGAATATAATAGATTGGATTAAAATATATTCAGTGTTCTCTTTTAATTGCTTAAAAAATACACTCAAAAATTACTGTTAAATTACAAACTAAACAAATAAAAAATCACAGGAATTAGAACGTATAAAGATAAAAGTATAAAATACATATTAAAACTCATTAATATGTATATTTCAGTAATCTTTGTTTTATTGTCATATATTGTCACACGTACACCACTTTTTTGTTGTGGTGTTTATAGTCTAAATGACAACATTCATTCATTCATTCATTTTCTTTCGGCTTAATCCCTTTTATTCATAAGGGGTTGTCACAGAGGAATGAACCGCCAACTTATCCAGCATCTGTTTTACAC